CTTCCACCTCCTCCACCACATGTTCCACTTCCTCCTCCACCTCTTCCTCCTCTTCCTCCTGCACCTCCACCTCCTCCACCTCCACCATGTCCTCCTCCACCTCTACTATCACCTGCACTTCTACCTCTGTAGTCACCATTATCATGCCACCATCACATCCATGCCCAATGTCTTTCACCATCACCCTGTCACCACCACCTCCACCACCATCACTATAACAGAACTCAGCCCCATGAAATATGGACCAAAGCAGAGGCCAGCAAAGACTTAATAACATGCTGCTCTTAGGGATAGATGGTGACACCTGCCACCAGTGGGTGAGACCCTATTAGAACCAATGTACCATCAATAGCACCCAGAGGATGGAGGGCGAGTTAGAGAATCAGGCACTGGGGGCCATTTGCTGACAGACAGGAGAAGTCCTGCGGCTCCACAGGGCTCCATGGTGGCCGTGGCTCACCAGGAATAGATGGGCAGACTGAGGGGGCGATTGGTGTCATGGTCTGAACCCATTTATGCCAACCTGTGGCCTGCCAAGATACTGGCTCATTTTGACATTCCACACACAAAGACCAGCGTCAGTTTCCCCCCATCTTAGTGTCTTGCAGGGGAGGCCCCTCTGTGATAGGAGCTCAGCTGAGGACCTCATTCCAGCCCGTGCCGGGAGCCATGCCATCGTCCCTCTGCGTGACAGTTTACATCATGCTGCATAGGTGGAGACTCCGCCCCGTAATCCCCCTCTATCCTCACTGCCTCCACCCTGTGAACGTCTGAAGGGTCTGTCTTGTCTTCTCTCAGTCTGTGATTAGCAGAGCTGTGCACACTAGGCTCCCTAATCTCGCTTCCTGAATCAACCCTTGAAACCAGCCCCTTAATACTGCAGTACTCTTCTCTGAACCTCTTCCAAATTGTCTTCCTCGTATCGAGCGGCCTGGCCCACAGAGCTGAAAGCAGCCTCCTTGGGGGCACGTTAATACCCTGGCCCAGCCTCCCAGATTCATCTTCTTCCCGGCTCCCGTTCGTATCGGTAGATGCACCAGACCCCCGCTCAGGTCAACTTCCAATCCTGCTAGAGACTGACGTGCGGATCAGGAGGAGAAGAAAGTTCAGGGGTGCCCAGGGGCTTCTCCAGGCAGAGTTTGAGCTTAGCGCCTGCCGATGACTGGACTCTGTGCTGTCCCAGGAGTTGGCACACAGTCCTGAGAGTGACTGTAACGGCGGGGGCAATCCGACTGCACCAGTGTCTCAGCTGTGGCCGGCAGGAGCGGAGGTCCCTGCCGGGTCCTGAGCTCCTGTTCCTGCTGCCTGGACCTCCCAGCCACTCACCAGCGTCCACACAGCCTGGGCATCTTGGCACGTCTGCCCCGGGGGCAACTTGAAATTTTTTCTGGTCATACATCTGTTCTCATGGGCTCTTCCTAAAATAATTCCTGTAATACCCTGATGGACACATTCCCGGGCGGACAACCTTTCCTCGCACTCTAATTTGTCCTCTTGTTGAAGGCTCTCTGCAAGCCGTCATGGACATGACTTATTTATGTGTTATAAATGCTAGCCAAGCTACCAAGCAAGCTTTCAGGACAGTCTGTCGTGCTTCATTCTGATGACTTCTAATGTACAACTGGTGCTAGTTTCCAGCCTGAAAATATCTGACTGCTGAAGTCTGCCTCTCACAGGGAGGGCTGTGGTGTGGGAGAGCACAGGAAGATGGGCCAGCCCTGCCCAGCTGCACTGTTGAACACTGCACAAGCCAGCCCCCAATGCCGGTGGCTGCTCCTGGGGCTCTGCAGTACACAGGAGGCATCTTGATGTGCAGAGGTCCCAGCAGGAGCAGAAGCCTTCCCAACTGCAAGGTGGAGAGTTGGTGGGACCTGCAGCTCAGAACAGCCCTTGTCTACAGACGCTCCAAGTAGTGTTTGAGGCCGTTTCCGACCCAGTACCATGCGCCTGTCGGGTGGCCTTCCTGCGTGTCTGTGCTACCGTATCCTGCACCAGCCCAAGCCTTGTTTCTCTTGCTCCTTTTGCTCTGAGTGTCCTTCCTGCCCACTCAGCATGGCCCCCTCCTCTGAGACTCAGCCCCACTCTGGAGTGACTGCGTCCTCTGTGCCCCCGTCCTCAGGGCCGCATGGTCGCCTTGCCCTGTGTGTGATAGTGAATTGAGTGCTTCTCTCTTGCCCAGGGGGTAGTGAGCGCTCAGTGCAAGAGGCCCTCTCTCCTTTTCCCAGGGCTGGACCTGGGTTGGGTCGCCGCTGGTGCTTGGGAATGTTTGTTGCGTGACTGTCTGAGGAGTGTTTGACGCTCTTCACGTGCTACTCCCGTGTTTCCCCGCAGACTGTTACAAGAATGGTTGACCAAGAAGGGTCTGTTCATTAAACATGAAGTTCCTACCATGTCTTCACCTGTGGAAATGAAACCCCATTCTGCTTGCCCCCCCAGGAGTTTGGACAGATAAATGCACTCCACGCAGAAGACAGGTGGCAACAGTGCCCTTGGTCAGGGGTACTCAGTTGACTTCCCCAGGAGTGTGCACTGGGAGGCCCATTGTGAGATATAGGAAACGCGTCTCCATGGCTTCCCATGCTGAGAGAGTGGACGCGTGGTGGCTGACTGGCCTCCTCCACCTGGACGACGTGTCTGCTCTGAGAACAGGGGCCTTGCAAAGTGGTGAAGTCACAGATCTCAAGACGAGAGCATCCCAGGTGGGCCAGGTAGGCACTAAGCCCAGGGCCACAGAGACGGCGGGGCCATATAGGGGGTATGTGACAATAAGGCAGGGCCCGGGTAGCTGTCCACACCCAGGAATGCTGGGATGGCCATCAGCACCAGCAGAGCAGGCTGGTGAAGTGGACTCTCCCCGAGAGCCTGCAGAAGGAGCACCCTGGCCTCAGGCCTCCACCTGAACAGTGGGAACAGAGGACGCTACTGCTGTTTTGAGCCCCTGGGCTCACGGCCACTGGTCATAGCAGCCTAGGAGACAAACTCAGGGCGGCTCCATGGCAGGCCAGGGAGGTAGGAGCCTGGGCCTTCCTGAGTGGCCTCAACTCACCTGAGCACTTAGCTCAGCACCCAGGGTGCCACCCAAGCCCTGGGCAGGAGGGACATGGCAGCCCCGGGTGCCTGATTTGTGTGGTGGCTGTTGTGCACCACAGGTGATCTAATCCTAGGCCGAGAGTGTCTCTGACACACCTCCCTGGTGGTTCCGTGCGCCTGGTGCATGTGCCTGTGCTGCCTCTCCAGGACACATGGTTGGAAGCCGTCTCCTCCTTCCCTCCGGTGTGGCCTGACCCTTGACCTGTGTAAGAGGCCATATCCCAGGTCCTTGTCGTCTAACTTTGGTGAAGGCTAAAGAGTCCCAGGTGCCCAGAGATAAAAGCAGCTTCTGCCTTCAAACTGCCAAGGCTCCTGTGACCTCTGGGCACTCTGGGTGTCTGTGAAGGCTGCGGCTCCCTCCTGGCGGTCGGTCACAGCGCAGCTCTGACAGGTTCTCACTGCAGCCCCTTCCTCTTAGAGTGAGCAGTGTGACGAGGACGGCAGGTGGCCCCCACACTCGCAGGGTCTTCACTTGGGAGGCGATCGGAGTCTGCGTGGCCTAAGGCCAGGCTCTTTCCCGCCACAGCCGCTTGATCATGTGTGGTTCCAGCTTGGGTCACTTTGGAGTCAGTCCAGCTGTCACTGCTGACCTGGACAGCAGAACATACCTTCTCGGCAGCACCGCCAGGCCAAGGGTGCGTGTGCGTCTGGGTGCGAGCACACCCAGGTGTCGGGACACCAGGCCTAGCGGCGAGTTGTGTTCCTGTGAAAGGAGACGGTTCCCATCTCAGCTGAGGTCAGAGGGCAAACCCGTGCCTGATCCTCTCCAGCCTGGGGGAGCCAGGGGACCTTGGTCCTGGGTGGGTTTTGAGATCACCGTTTCCCTGTTTCACTGAGGACAGGATGCGTTGGCCTGAGCGCCAGGATGGCTGTTTCCTGCAGGCACCGTTTCTCCCAGACCAGTACAGCAAGCACTTGGGGCAGGTGGCTGGGGAAGGGGGGATAATCGCAGAGAAATGCTTTTGAGCTTGGGAACATAAAGCAAAACTGGAAATACGTGATTGGGAGGCAGCTCAAGTTCTGGGGCTGGTGGAGCAAGGACCCGGAGGAGCAGGCCAGCGAGGGGACGATGCCAGCGGCACAGCAGGTCGTGCCCGAGTGCAGTCTGGCCCAGGGACGGGAGGCAGTTTGGGTGGGAGAGGGACGTGAGGGGCCGCGGCAGGATCGGGCTGGGGGAACCCGCAGCACCGTGGCCGAGCACAGGGCCGTCAGGCAGGAGGCGCCCAGGAGAGGCGGGAGTGGCACCGTGGGAGCGCGGGCCGGGCCCTGTGTGCGGGTCAGGGCTCTGCCCGGCAGCGCCCTGCGCAGCTGTGCGGTTTGGTTCCAGGAGCCAACGGGCGCGAGGGCCTTCACTTTCCAGGCATTTTCAAAGCAGGGAGCACAGACAACATCCTCAGAGTGCAACTCCAAAGACAGTGGATTTCGACTCCACCACCGGCCTGTGAGGCTGGCCGGCCAGGGGCCTCTGTGGGGCGTCCGGGGTCCTTGGCCTCCGTCCAGGATCAGAGCTCAGGCGGGTCGTCTTCCCTTTCTCACAAGAAAGTGGGGAAAAAAGGACAAATAACTCCGGGGCACTGAGCTCTGGCGCCTGGCTGCTCGTTTTCTTCCGTGCAGGGCGCTCGTGACCACAGCTCACAGGTGACTGCTGAGAACTTGGTGAGGGGGAGAGAGACGCTGCAGAGCCATCTTAGACATGAGATCATCTTTCCTGTGTGCAATTTAATGATCTCTTTCATTTGAGGCAGTTGTAAAAGCCAGTAATTATAGCTATTCCTAATATCCCAATGCCAAGTTGTCCACCGAGGCCCTGGAGTGAGTGGGCGGGGCTGACTGGCCACGCGGGGCAAGCGCTGCGGATAGGATGTGTTAGCGCCATTGCGTAAGCAGTCAGGCAGCCAGGAACCCTGTCAGCAGCTTCCCGCCTCTCCGGTCTTGTTTGCTCAGTGTTGGGTTCCTCACCCTGGAAAATAAAAGTGTGAGGGGAGCAGCCGGGAGCAGCTTCGCCTGTGAACACCTCGGGGGCGTTCTGGAAGGTGCTGCAGCAGGAGGCGAGAATCAGAGGTTTCCCCCTGCAGCCAGCGCGGCCGCGTCTCTGCCCCTGCTCTGGAGATGCTAAGCAGGTAATTAACAAATCATAAGGCACAGGTGTGCCAGGTGAAGTTTGGTAAATTGCTTTTGATCTAAATTGAGATGCTTTGGGGACTTAACTTCTTAGACAAAAAGGGCATAAATAAATAATCAGGACTTGAAGGCTGGAACTTGCAAGCAAACCCTGAGACGTCTTGATGCACTGGAGGAGGTGAGCGGGGGCGGGCGGGGCAGCCGTTGTTGGTGCACTGGCCAGCTCAAGAGCAGCTGGGCACATGTCCATGTGTTTGGAAACCGAGCCTCTCCTGGGGAGCGTGAGCTGTCTCCAGTTCCACTTTATATCCTGAAGTAGAAAGGGAAGAGCAGGGGGCGCCCTGAGGCCAGTCATGTTCCCGGGCCTGGGCGTCCAGGAGCCTGGTTTGTCCATGGCAGGGCAGAAGCAACCTGGCGTTCTCTGGGGTCCAGCCCCTGCTCTGAGGGTGCCCAGCTCTGACTGGTGTCCTGTGACCACACCCCTCATGGAACAAGGCACAAAACCTCAGTCCTGGTGGCGGAGCTCCTTCCAGCGTCCTTCCTGAAGTCCACCTGGAGATGGGCTGCAGCTCAGCCCCAGGCAGCCCGTGAGGCTGTGCCGTCCTGGTGAGGGACTTCCTGGACTCCACCCTGAGCCCCTTGCCTTTGGTCTGGGAGGGGCTGGGGTTTGGTCTCCAGCCCCTTCCCTGCCTGTCGTGGATTTGTGGGCCTGAGGTTCTCCCCGCGTCAGTGGGTTTTGGTAGTAACCCTTCCCTGGCCCCCCAGACCTGGGCTGCCACAGCCTCACGCTGTGAACCGCTCTGCCCCTGGTGGGTCCCGCTCTGCACACAGATCCCCGCACTCACAACCGCCCTCTGTGGCCGACTTACCAAGGCTGTGCCAACCCATGCAGGAGAGTCTGACTCCCAGCTTTTATGATGGTTTCCTAGTGTCATGGTTTGGATGTGGGTGTCCCCCAAAAGCTCACGTGTGAGGCAGTGCAAAGAAGCTCAGAGGTGGTTGGGTCCTGAGCCTTGACCTAACCAGTGTGTTGGTCCAGTGGAAGGGATTTCCTGGGTGGTGATGTGGGTGGGTGGGGTGCGGCTGGAGGAGGTGGGCTGCGGTGGGTGTGGCTCTGGGGCTTATGTTTTGTCCTGTTGAGCAGAGCTCTCTCTCTCTGCTTGCTGGTCATCATGTCCTGAGCTGCCTTCCTCCTCCACACTTTTCTGCCACGATGTTCTGCCTCCCCTCAGCCCCCTAGCAATGGAGCTGGTCATCTATGGACTGAGACCTCTGACACTTTTCCCCCTCTAGAATTGCTCGTCAGGTCTCTGGGTCACAGTGGCAAGAAAGCACTTAGCATGAGATGAGTTGGCAAGCACACAGCCCTTGGAAGGAATCCGTCCCTTGGATTTGGTGTGCAGCAAATGTGCACGTCTGTGATTTTTACTGGTTTGTGTCAGTTTCTCAGGATCCCTTCAGCAGGAAGAGGAGCCATGCTAGGCCCAGGAGGTACAGCGTGGGTGAGAGATGGTCCCTGCAAGTGAGAAGGACGTGAGTCGGATCACGGGCTGGCAGGCAGCAGCCATCTGCGGCAGGCCTCTGTGGGGTGAAGCGTGAGCCCCCCCACAGCGTGCGGAGGGGCTGGGGCTGGAAGGAGCCTCGCCGAGGAGCCCTCTCCAGGAGAACAGGACGAAGCCAGCCAAGGGCACAGAGGGACGGGGACAGAGGGAGTGGGTCACAGAGCCAGGGGACCATGGTGCAGGTTGGCAGAGGCTTGTGGAGGAGCAGGGAGGGGCTGAGAGCCAACCTGGAGGTCATGGGGGTGCTGTGGCATGGGCAGGGGAGTGCCCCGTGGGGAATGGCGAGCCCGAGGGTCCTTCTTGGGTCCACAGGGCTGCTGGTCCACAGGGAGGAGGAGTGTCCCCACGGCATGTCCTGTGTGGGTGGTGGTGTGTCCCGTGGAGCCTCCACACTGGGACCTGTCATCCCAGCTCTGAGTCTGTGGACCTGGCATGGAGCAGGCAGCTGGACGCAGCTGGAAGGGAGACCACCCAGGCTGGACGTGGGTTTGGGAGGCACCAGCGGCTCCTCCTCCTGGGCATGCCCTGGACCTCAGTCTTTAGGTTGGCAAGGATCTTAAAAAATGAAAGAATCAGGTAGAAGTGTGATGGAATGGGCCTGTGGTCACCCCGCTGGTGTCAGGTTGGAAGAAGAGGCCACGTGTGAGTCCAGGTGTGGGACGTCTCCCTGCACTGGGGAGTGGGGACCTGGGACTTCGTCAAGTGGCTTCCTCCCCTGTGGGCTGGCAGGGAGGGCCAGGGAGGAGGGTGACCCAATGTCTGCATGATCAGCTGCCATGGCCAAATCACTGCCAAGTGACCCCCAAATAACAGTGCTTGAAGACACGGACATCCTAGTGAGCCAGATTTGCTTTCTTTGCTTTTTTCCCTCCCAGGATGTGTGTCACCTGGGGAAGGAGGGAGCTTCACCTCAGCTTGGCTGGAGCCACAGTGGAACTCTGCCATGGGGGAGTCCACTGTCCTCTCTCCTGTCCCCCTCTTGCCGTCCATCATTCAACGTGGACTTGCAGATGGCTGAGGACTTAGCATCTTCCCCTCTCCAGCTGCCCGGAACTGTTGGCAGCCTGGCTGGTGCTTGGTGGTGCGGGTCCCAGGCCCACTCTTCTGTCCAGTTGTCTGTCCAGCTCCTCTGGCCACAGCCAGCAGGTGTAGGCACAGGAGTCCCTCGGAGCCCCGTGAGGTGGGCCAGGAGGCCAGGCCTGGGAGGACCAGAGAAGGGAGCCAGTACCGTGCCAGCAGCAGGATCCTCAGGACCCATGGTGCAAATCGAGCTCAGGGCCTGGCTGGGGCTTCCAGGTGCTTCCCTGACCCGGCAGGGCAGCCCGTGGCCCTTCCTGGGCTGCTCAGAGGTGAGAGGAAGCAGGAGCCACATCCGGCCACACCGGCTCCTCCCCTCTGGACTCTCAGGAGGTGTCCCCACAGAACTGCCTGGGGGCCTCCCCACCAGGAAGGGTCTGGGCACGAGTCTGGCACATCCGAGGCGGAGCTCCCTCCCACAGAGCCCTTCCCAGGGGCCGGGCACGCCCCTCCCGGCTGCAGCGCTCCACGCCTGCCCTCCCATGGGTGCCTGTCTGCTGCCTGGCTTCCTGCTGAGCTGCGTCAGGTCACCCTTCCTCTGCCCATCACTCCCCGGCACCCAACCGCTTAATGTGCAAAGGAACTTTCCAGCAATTCTTCAAAGAATCTTCGTGCAAAACAGCTGAGCCCTCCTGTTCGCCCTACCCCTTCTCCCATCCGTTTTGTAGTCGCCACCGTAGAGTCGACAAAGGCAGGAGCGGTTACTTTGACTTCCAAGCAGATGCTGTGTCCCCTGGGCCAGGACGAAGCCACAGCTTCCCGAGCGGGGTGCTGCAGCAGGCCCCCTGAGGGCTGCTCTTCCTCCGGGTGCCTCCAGCCTCCGCCCCGGCTCTCAGAGGCCCACCGAGGTCACAGCCCCCGCGCACACCTTCGCACACCTTGCTTATTTCCCATTTCAGGGTACTCTGCTGACTCCTGCCCTGGTCTGGGAGCTTCAGCACCACACCTGCATTTAGTGTCTCTAACAGACAGAATGAAACAGGGTCAGGAGAAGAGTCACGTCACCTCGACGTGCTCAGCAGGCCCTCGGCTCGCGCTCTCCCAGGGCCGGGCTGCCCCTCCCTTCCTGTACCCCCAGACGGCAGGCTCCTTTGTCTGATCATTACCTGGGCAAATTTGCCTGATGATAGAAAAACTGATCCTGCAGTTGGTCCCCATCCAGATGTCCTCAGGACAAGAGGCTCATTTCATCTCCTGTTTCCCAAATGAAGCTTTAAATCTAATTAGATCTTGAAAGAAAATAGCTGGGACATGGCTTCTGAAAGTAAAGGGCTTCTCGTTGGAATAGTGTTCTTGTTTGTTTATGTTTTGAGGCTCGCAGCAGCGAGGGGGATGTTCGCTGGGCTGCAGGGTGTCCCTGACGGGGTCCTTGGGGCAGAGCACTGGAGCAGGTCACGAGCCTCTCTAGACCAGGAGTCCAGCTGTTCAACGCTTCGCAGTGTGAGGGCACCGTGCAGCCCGCCATGGCCTTTCATGGAGCAGAGACCCAGTGAACATTTGGGAATAAGTGAATTCACGCTCATCCATCACCTGGTCGCCCCAGAGCAGCTGTTTTATTAAGGATGAGCTTTTTCATGTTAGTTTGGAATGGGAGGCTTGAAGGGAGAAGACCTGAATATTTTTAACTATTTCAATGTCTTGAGAAGAGACAAGTCTGCTACAGAATGAGGGCCCAGAGATCACCGGCCTTCTTGCTGACTCTGGCAAGTGCAGCCCCTTGACCTTGGATCAGAACTGTGAAATGAAAAAACTTCTTTCTTTTATAAAGCAGACTGCCTCAGGTATTTTCTTGTAGTAACACAATAGGGACGTTTAACACAAGTTCCCTATTAAGAGGCCCACAGTGAACCTTAGGCTGGATTTGTGGCTTAGTCAAACACCTTTGAAATCAGCTGTCTGCCTAAGCATTTTTTTCATAAATGTATATCATAACCAGAAAGGTAGATTTCCACCATATTCACGTTGTAGTAAGGAAGTCAGAGGCCTCAGCAGGCTGGCGAGGCGGACGGCCACATGGAAGCAGCAATCCCGGACACGGCTCCCAGGCAGCACTGTCCGTGGCCCCGGCTCCCAGTTCAAGGTCAGGAGAGTGCGATAGATAAATGGTGAGTTCCCATCCCACAGTAAAAGCGCTAACCCTGGAATGTCTTGGAGGAGAGCTTCCTGTTCCGTGGGAATTCTGTCCGTGCTTCAGTTCTTTTGGATTCTCCGCCACGTGGTGAGACCAACACACGAGCCTGTGGACCCACTCTGGGGGGATTTGTAAATATCTGTGAGACTCGAATTGAAGATCAAAAATAAAACTGAGCCCGGCTCTCAGGTTTCCTCCGAGCCCCTGCCTTGGGGACAGCACAGTAATTAGGACAGAGGATATCGAGATTATGCCTCAAACAAACTGGGGCAGAGCTTCTTTAAGCTCTACCGACTATTTTTATCTCAGAGGCCAAAAACATGAATTTCAGTACTGAGCTTAACTCGGCTTCCGCATAATGTCGCAAAGTCAGTGGCGGGAGACCTTGGCTCTGGGGTCACCAGGCCCCACCAGAGGGGCGGCTGGGGCTGGCCCTGCTCCCTGGGGAAGGGCAATGGTCTTGGTCAGGCCCAGGCCCAGCCCCAGGTTCCTTGCCCCGGGGGCTGGTTTTCCACTCGGTGAGTTAAAGGGCTGGGCTGGCGCAGTGGACAGCACGGGCCCAGGTGCTCAGGCCGTGGCTGGCACTCCTGGCTCTGCTGTGTCCACCGGGACTCCGGGGGCCTCTGTCTGTCCCACCTGTAGGAGCCCCTCCCGAGGTTCATGGGAGAAGGGCCGGCCCGCCGCCTTGGTTCTGGGTCTTGCCAGCAGAACCTCCCTGCAGAGGGGGAGATGGACTCGAAGGGGAGCCTCCCTCAGGGACACTGAGTTGTGTTTTTCGGGGAGGCAGCAACCAGGTCTGGGCATCTGCCTGTGAGTTACAGGGGTTTTGCTGATTTCAGAACACCCAACAAACCATAGCAGAGTAAGGACAGAATCAAAGAAGTAAACTTGAGTATTTTCCCTTCTTTTAATGCAACGTTTTTGTTAATAAAGGGGCAATTATATTACAACACTTACAAGTTTTGAAATGGAGTGACTTAGATGTCCCTTTGAGTCCAGTTTCCTCGTCTGTGAAGAGGGGGTAACCCCTACATCTGTCCCTCAGGCTGCTGTGAGGTCAGCTGTGATCGGACACCCTCACCTGGTCAGACCTTGCCCCTGAGGAGCGCAGGACAGGCCATTGTAGGTATTCACGGTGTCGATGATCTCAGGGGACAGTCTCTGTCCCTGTCTGTCAGGCTGCTGTAACAGAGTGCCACTGACTGGGCAACTCTGAATGGGCACAAGCATATTTGGCTCACAGCTCTGGAGGCCGGAAAGCCCAAGTTCAGGGTCTGTGTCCTGCTGTGTCCACCCATGGCAGGAAGAGAGGGGGCTGCAGGTACCAAGAGCTCACTCCTGTGAGGGGGCAGGGGTCCCCCAGATGCTGGAGCCTGGGGCCCTCACCTCCTGCAGGGCCACCTCCTCACCACTGGGTGGGGTCAGGTTTCCAGCATGGACTCTGGGGACACATTCAGACCCCTGCAGTCTCTAAATGAACTCCCTGTCAATCATCTTTGAAAGACGACGACGGTGGCGGGTTCTGAAGGGGGCTGTGGTGAAGATGCTCTCGGATGGAGTTTGGGTGTCAGAGCTGAGCACCCCCTAACGTGGCTTCCCCTCTGTGGAAATGCAGGGGGTTGAGTCCAGTTGGCGTTGTCTCTGAAACGCCTTCCGGCCTTGCAGGTTGTTTTAGGTCTGGGCGGAGCCATGGACGACGGCTCAGGGTTGTTCTGGTCACGTGTGGCTGTGTGGCTGCATATGCACGTCATCAACAGGGCCACATCCACCCCCCTGCCCTGTCCCCCTGCCCCCCCTTCATTTCTTCAAGCTCTCCTGTCTCAGGCTGGCCACACTCAGCCTGTGTCCTTCCCTTGCCAGGAAGACCCACCCACCCAGCCACCCACCGTCCACATTGGAGCCCAGGCACCAGTCTCCAGGGCTCACTTCACACACCCCTGCCTGCGCGGTGCCAGAGCTGCGACCCACGTGGCCCCTCTCCCCAGCCCTGAGAGTCGGCTGGTGTGTTCTCAGGGACACCTGCAACCACCTGCCTGGCCTCCAGGTCAGTGGCAGGGCTGAGGGAAGGGCAATGACCTTAATCTGGGGTGGAAGGTCCAACACACGTTTTCAAGTCTCGTTATTTGGGAGCTACTTTACTGTCCCTGTTGGTAGGTCATGGTCCATGTCCCATGCAGACCACTAGCTTGGTGGCCAAGTCCCCCCCAGCTAAGGATAGGACACCGGCTTGGGTGGTGGTCAGGGGCACCAGGATCCCCTCCATGCCCTGCAAGGCACTCCCTGGCACACAGGCCTCCCTGAAGCATGAGGGTCTCTGCGTGGCGCCCTCTGTGGGCAGCTAATATGGGAGGATGGGGCTGGGTCTGGGCTAAGGGGCAGGTCTGGGTCAGTGCACAGCACGAGACTGCAGACCCCAGGGCCCACAGGGGGTGCTGGCCACACAGGGTCCCTGCAGGGTGAGGGGCAGGCGGAAGGAGGAAGGTCAGTCAGAGAGCATGATCCGCGTGGCCTGGCCCGGCCCTGCGCTCGGCAATGGCTCGGAACACCACGTTTGTCATCTCTGAAGTAACCAGGGCGCCATCGACTCCCTCCAGATTCCTGGCCTGTGCTCGGGCGTGGACGTGGCCCTGTGTGAAGCCCACACTTGGCCCGCTGCACTGTTGGCACAGATTGAGGGAAAGCCGCTTGCCAGCCGGAGAGAGGTGGCCGGGCTGCTGGAGAGGAGGCCCCTGGGTCACGGTCCATCGTGACCCAGGTGCTCCTGAGAAAGGACACGTGGAATGCTAGGTTCTGCGGTGTGCTAGGTGCCCAGGGCCACGTGTGGGGCTGGGATTCTGTTGTTAGGGAGCTGGCCATGGGACACGATTGAAGGGGAGTCTGAGGAAGTAGTTTCAGGAACCGGCAGGTGGATCTTGTGCTGGGTTCTCTCACCCACCCCAGGCCCCTGGTGTGTTCTCCCCCCGCCCCGCGGTGGGCACGGCACGACTCTGCAGAGCCTGCCCTTCCACCCCCGCCCCGTCAGCTCCTCCACACACTCACCTGATGGCCTCACCTTTGCTCAGGGTGAGTGGCACCGCGGCTGCAGGGCCCTCGACTGCCCTCACTCCCCTGGGGCCTCCTGGGGTCTTCTCGTCCTCCTCCCTTCCCCCAGGGCTGCTCAGGTCAGTCAGAGAGCTGCCCCTCTGTGCAGGGGCCTCCCTTTATGGACCTTTCTCTCTCTCTGCAAATTCCCCTCTTTTCTAATGCTTTCGGCTAGACCTAAAAGCAATCAAGTGCAAATGTAAACCACACTGAGGTTTCATCGCACTGCAGTCGGAACGGCAGCCATCAAGACTACAACAGGAGTAGATGCTGGAGAGGATGTGGAGAAAGGATCACTTTACACCACTGGTGGGACTGTGAATCGGTACAGCCACTATGGAAATCAGTGTGGAGGTCCTCAGAAGACTAGGCATAAAACCGCCATCTGACCCAGCTATAGCACTCCTTGGAATTTTCCCAGGAGAATTAGAATCTTACTACAGCGAACATCCACACCCATGCGCAGAGCAGCAGATTCACATGGCCAAACTATGGAACCAGCTTAGGTGTCCATCAACAGACGACCGGATCAAAAATGTGGTGCACGTACACTATGAAGTTTTATTCAGCCATAAAAATATGAAATTATGTCATTTGCAGGAAAGTGAGTAAGAGTAGAGACCATTATGTTAAGAGAAATAAGCCAAACTCAGAAGGTCAAGGGTCGTCTGTTTTCCCTCATGTGTGGATGATAGAGAGGAAAAGGGAAGAGAAAGTTGGGTGGGGCGTCTCCTGAGAGCAGAAGGGGGACCAGTAGAGTAGGAAGGGGGCCTAGAGGGAGGGTGAGGAGGGGAAGGGGGAGCACTGGGGAAGGATGGTGGCTCAATCACGTCCTCTGTGTGTGGATGTACAGGACGGGACCCAGCTCCCCAGTGACGTTCAACCCCAGCGCGTGAGCTGAACAGACTCCAGCTCTTCTCCTGCCCACACCCTGTCTCTCGGGCTCTCCGCCATTGCTAAACGTCCCTTGGCCCTCAGCTCCACCCCCTTAGAGCCATCCCCCCTCCTGAGTAGACATTGTTCCTGATGTCCCTCGGGTATCTCCGCGTGAACACATTCATTCTGAAGTTACC